GTTATCTCAGTTACTGAGCTCGGACCGGTCTCAGATCAATTTTTCAAAGGGTAGTGTAAATATGAAGATTTAAACCATTTAAAAGGAAAGATTTTGAGCCTGAAGTGCTCATTCTTACTAATTGGCAACCTTAATTAAGCTGGTGAAGGTTCTCAGTCATCCAGGTCATAGTCAATCCAAAAAGTTAAAAACAATCCACTGGACTTTGTTTCGAAGTTTGAAGACGTTTCGCTTCAAATACGGGAAGCTTTTTCAATTCAAATGTCAGAAATAACGTTGAGTTCGAGGCTTTATATTTTTGGAATTGGGGTCTAAAGGGGTGGACCCATTCGTCAGGTTTATTTTGGATGTTTTCTAAGCTTTACTTTTGTCCCACTCTTTAAAGCCTGGAACTCAAAGTTATTTCTGACATTTTGAATTGAAAAGCTTCCTGGATGGGAAGCCAAACGTCTTCAAACTTGGAAACAAAGTCCAGTTGATTGTTTTTAAACTGTTTTAGAACCCTAATTAAGGCCTTTAACTTCAGTTAGCTGTTTGGGCTAAGAGATGCAGAAATGTTAGTCTAGAAAATAACGGCTGTTTAAAACAGAAACGTCATTTATTTTTTTCTGAAATGCTCTTGAGTTCCTCTTAACCTGAGCTTTATCGTGGGGTAAGTAGTAAACACCTTCTTTCCATTAACTCATTCATTATTTCATGGAGCTTCCAGGTTACCGTCTAGATCAGGGGTCGGCAACCCAAACTGTTCAAAAAGCCAAATAAAAAAAAATAAATCTGTCTGGAGCTGCAAAACATGTAAAAGTCTTCTATAAACCTAATGGTATTGGCCGACTATAAAAAAGGACTTCTGTAGTAGCCATTCAAAATTTCCTCACTTTTCTTGATGGGCCCTTGGTCGGTTTAAACATCAATCTTTGTACTAAAATATTCTTTCTGTCATGATTTATAGAGATTAAGATCTAAAGAGAAGCATCACCTCCTGTAATTCCCTATAACTCAGTGAAAGGGTGGAGTTAGAGTAAAGAAATATGCAATATATGGCTGGAAACTGGGGGGATTTCTCTGGGAGTTGGAGGGAAGTGGGCTGCTATTCAGCTGCCGTCTAACTGGGAACGGCCATTTTTAATGGCTGCTACTGTACCTGGGCTTAAATATTTTGTGTTATCGGAGCATATTTCACATCATCTGACTACTCTGCTGTACGATATTTGGTGCTTTAAGTTTAAATTCCATCACAATATTATATTTATTAGCTTTGGTTGCATTGATGAAATTATAGAAACACAATAAAGAAATCAGATTTGTTATTATTTTCATTTTGAAGTTTTTGTGGGAAAACTGGAAGAAAGTTCCCATCCCTGCATCAGAACCTGTGCAATCTATGAACGGTTTTCTATGCTTGCAACCAAACTAGCAGTAAAGTTTGGAGATGCAATCTACTCCTTAAATCTATCTTTGCTCTCCTGTAATTTATCCAGAAGTTCTGCAATCGCACATTTTCTCTCCCTTTCAGCTCGATGATCGGCTGCATATGTAGCCTTCCCTGAAAATGCCTTTTGACTCTTTTTATTATTTGACAACTTCTCATTGCAAATCAAACATGCAGACAATCCTTCCTCATTGGATAATGATAATAAAAGCAAATTGTCAGGTCTAAGCACCTAAAACATCATACATACATACAGGGAAAGAAAGAAGGCACAGAGACAATTAATTTAGTTACTGGCGAGGAGAGTAGGAAGAGACTGCGGAGTTTACAATCTCCACCCCACTCTGCAGTCTTCAGCTTTCTGCTCGTCATTTATTTAAGAAAAGGGGATGTCCCTAATTACACCAGCTGAGGTTTAACTAAAGGAAAAGGGAAACAAAAGGATCTTACTTTAAACCTCAGCACATATGTTAAAACAAAGCATGTGGTTGTTTTACTATTGAATTGTTCCAAGAACACATGTTTGGAAGAAACATGTGATAGAGGATGTTCAGGCCTCTTTCACAACCCGTCCGTTGCATGACCTTTATCTGTAACGATCTTAAGCAAGAGTTAATAAAAGATGAATCACACATTATACATCATAATAGTTCATTAGAACACAACCCATGAAACACAAACGGAGTATAAATAAAATATTTCTAACACAAATGATTTGCTCTATTCTGCTTTGAATCCTTTGTTCTCATCAGCTATCTTCCTTTTTTTCCCCATGGCCAAAGACACACCCGCTGCTATACAGCAGCCACCTGCCTGGCACCGCGCCGCGCTGAAACGTCTGTCGCAGGCTATGACGCAAACCTTTGTTTACAGTTATTGTTTATCTGTTTTATTTATTATACACATTTTTATAGCATTGGAAACTTAATGAATATTTGTTTGACCTCCTGCACACCATATTCAAACAAACAATCCCCCCAAAAAACCCATCTTTTTTCCATTTTCATACATTTTTGAAAAAGCTCCAGGGAAACAAATAATCATTAAAGAGAAGCATGTGGCCCTGGAGCCGCTGGTTGCCGACCCCTGTCCTAGAGCCCACGCAGTACTTCCTAGAACTTTGCTAACAGTAGCCCAAATAAGTTAAATTGTGGTGCGTACAACTAACATACAGGATTTACTGATTATTCTAGTAGAACTACCACAATACTTTCTGAATGTTACATTTTAAAAGTGACAACAGAAGATACTTTCCTTTAGCTTTCAGGTTATTCTTCTGGAACTTCCCAGAACAAGTAAGGTACTTTTCCAGAAGTATCTTTCTACTATTCTGGAGTTTATGCTGTAAAAGGAGGTTGACTCGTTGCTCAGGAGTTTCTTTTAACCTGCAGGCAAACAACCTCTACGGAAGAGGATTAGGGCCAGTGGGAAAAAAAAAAAAAGTGTACTGATTTTAAATTTTTTTTTCATTTTAGTATTGGAAAAAAGTCAGAATTCTGACTTTTTTCCAATACTAAGTTGAAATAAAATTTTAAAATCAGTAAACTTTTTTTTTTTTTTCAGTGCCCCTAATCCTCTTCCGTAAACCTCTGACCCTTTAAGTTCCAGAGAAGTAACAGGTTACCTCACCATGCAGCTTCCTGAGTTCCTAAAAGTAGACTGTAAGTTCTAGATGCTAACCTATAAATAATTATAAGACACTCAATTTAAAGAAGGTGACCCTTCTTTTCCAGGAAGCAGGCAGAAACTAAACGCTAAGTTATGAATAATCAGGGGCTGGACTGAGCAGTGGTGCCAGTAAGTCAGCCATGGTTCTGTGTGATATGTCAGGTCATGTGACTCAGTGATTTCAATCACATCTGAAAGCAGGGCAACTCCTGCTTTCACACGTCTAACATATTCAGAGCAGCCTCCCACTCATCGCCTCAACTAATTTCCCCTCTCCTCATCTTTCTGTCGTTATTATTCAACCTGCAAACATCTTTTCTCTCAGATTCAAACTGATCTCCATCCTTCTGGTTCGATCTTCCAGCTGGACGTTCTGTGTAACGGGGAGATCATGGGCAGAGATCACACTCTAGAGTTCATCTACATGACCCGGTGGAGGCTGCACGGGGAGAACGTAAGGCATTCTCCTTCACTTCCTGTTCCGCTGAGTGCGTGTGCATGCTTGTGTATGAAGGCATCCGTGCAGAAGGGCTGCGCATGTGTGCAGCTTGGATGCCGATGTTGCAGCGGTTCCCTTTTTTCATATTTCCTCATCATGCAGTTTGATTTAGAGGCTTTCAGTGAAAGTTTGTGGTGACGCCGGCGGAAGTTAACGATTGGCTGCGGAGTTGCTTCTGTGTTCAGTGTCACAGCAGCTTCCGCAGGAAGAACGGTTCGATTCCAGGTGTTAATCTAGAGAAAGATACTTTCCATTTCTACAGATTATCCAGGCCCGGTTCTACAGATTATACAGGCCCGGTTCTACAGATTATACAGGCCCGGTTCTACAGATTATACAGGCCCGGTTCTACAGATTATACAGGCCCGGTTCTACA